AAGTATGAATAGAGGATCTCCAAATTTCCAAGAAGACTCATGGCTGTACTAGCTCAAAGGGGTGCTTCTAATCAATACTGAGTAAAGGGTCTGAATGCTGAAGAACTTCCCTTTCAAAGTGTGGAAGCTCATTGGTAGAATTATATTACGACAGAAAGAAGGACACTTGAAAACGACTCATTTTGTCCTCTGGAGGGGAGTTACATTTATTTACAATTCAAATTCCTACCGTTGTCTTAAACACTTCATAAGTTCAGCACTATCATCACACATCTCAGTTTTTTCCCCCAAAATGGCAGAGGCATTTGAGGCTGTATTTATACCCTAGCACCAAGTGCTATGTCAAAATCTTGCTGGTGTGTGTTCATGTATGTGTATGTGTACAATTTTTTCCACTGTTCTCTTATTATTGAAATTACTATTCTCTTTGCTTTTGCATTACATGTTTTGTTTTTTCACTAATTTTTTTGAATAATTTAAATTACCCTTATTTCCTACGATCCCTTTTCCAGGGATCGAGTAGGAGACCTGAATCCATGTCTTTACACAAAGAAATGTTTTACAGAAATTTTTTAATAAAATACGTAGGACTATTCTGTGTTCTGATGCAGCTTGTTTAAAAAGTTACCCCCTTTGCAGGTTACACTAGCAAGCAAATACAAAAAAAGAGGAACTTGTGAATCACATCACACATACTAATATAATTTCAGCTTTCCTTGTGTTTCAAACTCTAAAAGAAGTTTTATCTTTACTCAGAAAACAGAAGTGAAACTTCAGTTTTCACACCAAACAGCCAACCAGGCTGTTGTTTTGCTGAAAGCAACCCCAGCTTGCTTCTGATAGCGGCCTACAGGACTTCTGCAGAGCTTCAGTTGCTTTTAGAAGTTATTGGTGTTGTGAGAAATAAATTTGCATTTAAAAGTTAAAAATGTTATTGTCAAAGGAGAGGTAGTGACGGATGGGTCCAGGCAGAGAGGGACTGGACTGAATCAGAACCAGACTTGACCTGAAGTAGCAGGGCTAAAGCTACATATAGGTCAGTTGTGTAGTAGTAGTTATGAACAATGTTGTAGAAGAAGTTGTTATCTGGATCCACATTGTCTTCTATGTCCTGGACTTTTATAATCTGTGTAGCTGAATGTTTTCAGTTCCGGGTTATCAGCATTAACAGTTGAAGGTGTTAGTGTTGTGTCCATGGTGATGAAGAAACAGTTCCTGTGACTAGTGACATTGTTAGGTTTTCAGTCGGTGTGGGTTGTGTTAAAGCCCATCATAACAGACATTGCCAGGAAATGGGACAAAGGGACCCTGTTTCAGGCTAGACAGACAGTGAGAAGTTTCAAAATGTTTAATGAAAACAAATAGAACAGAATACTCAGTCTATAGGGGGATCAGATGCAGTTGAGGGGTGTCAATGGGAAAGTTGCACAAGATTCCCAAACGACTGCCCTGTAAACCAAAACTGGTCCTGCTGAAGTGCTGATAAAATGCAGAATCTCACTAATTCTCACTAGAATTAAGAAAGTAAAACACATCAGTCCGGTTCTGAAGTCCTTCCACTGGCTCCCTGTAGCTCAGAGAAAAGACATTAAAATCCTTCTGTTAGTCTAGAAAGCACTAAATAGATCAGCACCTCAATCCATAACAGATCTGTTGTCATTAAATCTACCTCCCAGACCACTCAGGTCCTNAGTCACAGACCTGGTTCAGAGTTCGATCCCAGAGGGATGAGAGGAATCTGTGAAGGTGATTATCCTCTGATGCCAAGCGACGCCGAGGAGCAGCTGTGTCCAGAAGGGGAGATCCAAGCCGAAGTTGTAGCAGAACCAAGTTCTTTAACCAGATGATCAGAGAGCAGATGAGGTACCGATGAGGGAATCCAAGCGGTGGTCAGGAAAACAGTCCAGGTTCGGTAAGCCAATTGAATCCAAGAAACAGTTCAGAACTGATCAGACTAATAGAGCGGACAGGGGAAAAGCAAAACTTGGGATCCACAAGACAGTAACAGGTCACAAACAGAATAATCAGAATTATAGTAAAACGCTAGAGTTACTCTCACCAAACAGCTAGAATAATCTGGCACTGGTAGCTTGAAACCAAACAGTATGTATAGCAGCTGGAACCAGGTGGATGGGATAAGCAATGATGGCAGAGTTAAACAGGTGGGTGGAATAAGCAATCAAGCCAGCCACCAGTAACCATGACAATTTAAGAGTTGTAAATGGATGAATTTGTTTCATTAAACTTTATGTCCTTTAAAAAAAAAGAAGATCGACAAATGTCCTTAATCAGTGCACCAAAGTGCTGCAGTACAGATGGATAAATGAATAAACCAACAGGAAAAAAGAGTATATGGTGGCTTAAATCATTACCAGTCTAGGCTTCCAGAACGATGAAACATCACCGCTTTGCAACAGGCCAGCTATCGAACATGCACACAGCTTAATGTCTTGAAAGTCAATAAATAGATGAACTATATTGATGCACTACTTCAATATATTTTATGTTTGCATACATTAAACTGTAATATACTGTATACTTGTATAAATTCAGCATATTGTAAAATATTTAGCCCTTAATGATATGGAAGGTACAGTATCCTCTTGATAGATGAGAAAACTTGCTTCTCAATTAATCGTTAGTTGAGCAATAAGATCAATTAACTTCATGTAATTAATTAATAAACAAATCCCATTTCTTTTTTTTTTCTTCTCTTTTTTAACATTCCAATTTTATTTCCTGGAAAAAGATTCATTGAAGGATAGACGAGATATAAATCTTCTTTTTCCTTTGTTTTATAATGTTACAAGAATTGAGCACCCCCAAAGCGCAGTGAGGCGCTACATTGCAAGGTTTTAATACATTAAGGATGTTTCCTTTTTTTTTGGTCATATTTTGCCAAGTTATCTAAGAGAGAGGGCAAGCAGATCTAACCAGGTTGATCTATATAGAAATATAACATAGATTCAATATTTTCATTGAGTCTTCTTAATTTCAATCCAGAGCTGTTTTTTTGGAGATTCTAGATGTTGTTGGCTGAATGATAGAAAACATGTGCTCCAAAAACTGCCCCCGAAAGAACAATATGTAGAAAATATTGAAATAGGTACAGACTGTATACTTTGAATGTTTTTAATCCCATTACCCAATATGTTGTATTTTGGGGAAAGATAATTTTCTAAGATTTTTAAAGCATGGGAGCATTTTGTTCCCTGTTCTGAGCACTCATCAATGTGTTGAGACTTGGCACTTCCTTCACCATCCCTGGACGGTCGTCTGCAGGCAGGGAGGTTTTCTTGAATCGCTGAGGAAAGTATCAATAATGTTAAAAAATCCCTCTTGCCTCTAACAACATACAATAAAAATCACCAACTTCTTTTTTTTTTCTACTTTGTACCCACATAGGAAAGTTGGTACAAGTTTAGATGCACCAACATATGTTGCACGTTAATGAACAAGGAGCCTGCAGCATTTAATTTTCTCCTCACAGCAGTCCTCCCTGTCTATGTATCAGTATGGAATTTTGTGATGTATAATTTCATTTCCTATATCACCTAATTAACATACCTTCTGTTTTAAAACCTGGAACAGCAGTGTCCTAAAGTTCTGTGTTCAAATTGGTTAATATTAGTATGCTACTTGCACTAAATTTGTCTGTTTTTATGTTATAAAGGCAAGTGAACCCTAGAGCTAACAAGAATCTGGTGAGTAAAGTATTTTGTGTCATGGCATTTTGTCTAACGTCTTGCAACAATTTACTAAGTTTGATGACGTCTTCTAAGGTGATGGTGCTAAATCCAGCTTTTATGAAGTACGTTCATCAGAGCTGGCTGGAATCAAAAGGAAAATATCCGTCAACTGGTTTTATGACCTTGATGGCCGCAATTCACTTTTGTGATGAGGTATGCTTTTTTGTTGTTTTTTCACTTGGCTGAAAAATAAGGTTTTTTGTTTTGCAAACTATCAGGCTGATGTGGACAAATTGCTCTGCTCTACCTGCAGCCATGGTGCTACGTTTTATTGGGTAGGAAAAACTTTGTGCAGCACTCCATTTTGCTTGACAGACCAGCGATTTGGGAATCCATGATAACCTGGTCACCTCACCCCGACTTTGAAAGCTTACTTTCTGTCTGCTGGTGTTCAGGATGAGATGACGACAGTCTGAAAGAAGAAATTCATGTTTTTTAAGGACTTTTCTTATTTGTATGTGCAAATAAGCAGGGAAAATGTGTTTAAACACACTTTCTGCAGGTGTTGCATCCATTAAAAGCCAGTGTATGAGCCTAATTTCAGTGTAACTTATAATAATTCAGTGCAACCAGCGTTTGTGGTGAAGTTATATCAGCTGTGCTGCTGGCATCAACACTTTTGTTTATAGATGTTGGAGCTCAGCCTGTTTTTCAGTGTAGTCCTGTTTCTCTAAAATGTGACTGTGACATTTTGAATTGAAAAAAGCTTCCCCGATGGGGAGCAAAACGTCTTCAAACTTGAAAACAAAGTCCCATGGACTGTTTGTTTTTATTTTTTTGGAATGACTATGAGCTGGATGACTGAGAATCGTCACCAGCAGATTGAATTGTTATATTAATAAGAAAACAAGCAGATTGCATTCAGTTATTTACTTTTCCTGGATTAGCCTCTGGCCACAATCCTCACTTGCATTTTGTCATAGGCTCTTCAGCAGTCCCTAAAAACGCTGCTACATGCTTATGTAGTGACAGTGGAAAGAAAAACTTCCATTTAACAGAAAGAAACCTTCAGCAGAACCAGGCTCAGTGTGAGCGGCCTTTTGCGGAGGCCGACGGGAGTTCAAGGAAACGGAAGGAGACATAGAAAAAGGAGCAGAGATACAAAAGGTAACAGTTAACTAGCTCCACATGGAGCTCTGTCTAGGAAAGACAGCCAGGTAGATGAACTCCAAGCCACGTCTGCTAGTCACAGTAAAAGAAACAGGCCAATCTCCAATATGTATAAACAGAGATGGTAATGGCAGCAGCACAGCTGATATTTCAATCCAGGATGGAGTCACAGCCGAACAGAAACAGACCAGATTATGTTACTATCATGAGAAAAAGCAGAGAGGAACTTGACAAATACTGCAGATTGGGAGAACAGAGCTAGATGAAGAAAAAGTGGTCCCTATGTGATCCAGCAGCTGAAATATATAGCAGCACAAATACAGAAAATAGCAAATGTGGTCATTCTATAATTTTTGATGTTCCTATAGGTCCATGTGTTCGGTTTTGGAGCAGACAGCAATGGAAGCTGGAGCCACTACTGGGAAAAAATGAAGGGTAAAAACTTTAAAACAGGACCTCATCCTGGAAAACAGGAGTACACAATCATACACAAACTGGCTGCTGAAAAAACAATCTACTTTTATAACGGTGTTTGATTATTTTCTAAGTATTAAAATTTAGTTTGTAAAATTTAAAATTTCCTAAAAACATATTAAAAAAACATATAAATATGCATAATTATAACCAGCACATTTTGCCTGAACAGATTTTTGGAACAGAGTCATAAACTCTTTAACAAACTGAAACATACTCTTTTTGAAACTTGATTGTATTCTATTTAAAGAAGGTTTATTTGAAGAAGAAGTCTCTTATCCTGTGTATGAATGTATTTCACCAGCTGTCAGTCATTTGTATTTTGAATTTCTTTATTTTATAACTCTGCATTAAACAAAAACCAAAAACTTGTCATTAGGAATGTGTAAAAAAAAAAACATTTAAAAAAACTCTTAATTTACCAGCTGAAACATCTTCAGATGTCTTTTCTACCATTAACTCTGAAATTAGTTAAAATAATAATCAGATAAATAAGAAAAATAAAAAATAATCAGACTATTTTAATATTTAACAGTGCAATAAGTGAACATATAAATGAACCTACCAGTGTTAGCCCCGAATGTTCTTTACTTGATTGGATCTTAGTTTCTTGTCCCGACAGAATCAAAACAACTGGGATATAACCTGACTGTTTAAGAGTTCCTCATCCTCTCTTTAAACCTGTCAAAGTTAGGAAAACTCAAAACCTCAACATAAAACACAGTGTTAAAGAAAGGGAGGCACCAATACCGACACTGCTATCAATACCAGGCTTGATACCAGTGTAAAGTACTCGTACTTTTAGTTGTAAAATCAACCCGATACTCTAAACCAGAACTAGGGCTTTAAGGAGTTGTGATTTTGCGAAGTTGACTATTTGACAGTAAAAGTCGAGTTGATGCGTTGTTCTATAACAATATTAAATTAAATACGGATGTATGGAGGGAGAAAGTTACTTATAATAGTTCTTGCTGCAGAGATGGACCTGGTTATGTCAGTTAGGTCCAATCCAAGCTAACTCTAGCATGTGCTCTACTAAGCACGCAGAATAAGCTAATAAGAGTTTTGTCGAAAAATCAATTCTCTGGAGAATGCTCTATCCAGAACAAATTCTGTATTTAACCAAAATCACAGAACCAAGATCACACTATCAAAACAATTAAGCTCACCTTAGCTGTAGCTGTTAGAGGTATAGAGGAAGATCTTTTATTTCCGGGAGGATCATCTAAGTAAGACGTCCTCCTAATTGTCAATCTTTCTGCTGACATGTTTACGTAAGGCCGTCCTACGTGCTCGTCCCGTGTATCTGTTGTGAGCTACGGTTTCAGACCGCCATGAAGATCACCTTTCTCTCAGCGGTTCTTTGAAAATGGCAGAGGGTCTTAAGAAAAAAAATGAGTATGAAGTGTAGGAGAAAAGAAGAAAGGCAGATATATCCCACAATCCTTTGTGTGGAGAGCTCTCCTCAGAAAGCATTATGGGATTTACTGTCACAGCGGCCCGCTGTCGCCATAGGCTGTCGCTACCTGACAGCCTATGGCGACTAATAACAAAGATGGCGCAGGCACCGCGTAGTGGAGGAGGATTGAGGGATTTAGGAGTTAAAGCGGAGGTTCAGGCACAGTAAGCTTGTATGAGCTATGTGAACAGCAACTTTTAAACAAAGCGTGCAGGAGGAGAAATGGGCTCATGAATGCTCTCGCACATGCTTTTTTTTTTAAAGTGGAGAGGTCGGGTCTTTTAAAAAAATACGCGAAAATCCTCCACAATACATTTCAGAGGCCCTTCCCTGTTGGAAAACACGCCCCGTCACTGCAATCGGATCCAAGGTTAAAGACTAACTTTGTCAGTACAGCATGATGGAAAGCACAATGGGATGTCGCTTTGTTTTTAAAACATATAAATATAAAAAATATAACCGCGGATGTCTGGGGGACATTGATTCGCCTACATGTTATGAATGCTGGCGCATTATAACGAATAAATTATGAACAGTTTAGTTTGTGCCTTCAAGTCGTTGCCCATAGGAAGACGTTACTTGGATTTAACCTAACCAAATATCTTAAAAACGGCACCAAATGACTCATGTGGGTGAGTAGAACATGATGCAATAATGTAAAATCAAGGGCCCAATGTAAAAAAAACGGCATTCCCCTTTAACTTCCTAGATGGAAAATGTTGAAGTATTTAAATATTTAGACATGACCCCCAGTTAAAACCTAATACTGATTCATTTTTTTAGAAAATATATGATTATCCCAAAATCACTTAATTGTTTCACTTCATAAGAGAGTTTTCACACAGGTTGGTGCTGATAACTATTGGTTGTTTATTATTTATGGCACGACAACAGGAACTAATAGAACAGTCACTGAATTCTCAAAGTGAAAAGAAATACATTTCCTCCGTATTTAAAACATTACTTAATACAGTTTAGTTCATACTTACTTTAACACAATTGTTTAATGTTAGCAAGTTAGGACATAAAACAGTTGTTTTAAATTAACTAAATATGATTAGGAAAATGCCAAAAGCGGTTGCCTTATTTTTTTTTTTATGTATCAGTTTGGATTCATTTTCTTCTCTCACTAAATTGTATCACATCTTTGCAAATTTATGTTGTTTTTACTTATAATCAAACATGTTACTTACTTACTTTCAATAAGAACTCCTTGCAAGGATTTGCACATGTATATATATGTATGTATTGTCTTATTTTGTTTATTAATGTGAAGTGTGAAATGTCATGCATTTGTTGTGAACATCTCTGTACTTCTACGTTTTGGCAACTTGGCTCGGTTTCGGGAAGCGCTGAGTTTACATGGTTGTGAGAGTGTGGGGAACTGTTATTGTATTATAATTGTACTTGAGCCTGATGTGGGTGTTTTCATTGTTGAAATGTTTTGTATGATAATTTGAAATGAGTTGTTATGATCTGTATCACTGTTGTTTATATTTTGTGAGGAAATTATTAATGTTGTTGAAACGGTGCATCTGAAGGGAATATACAAAAGGCATACAAAAAGGAAAAACAAAAAGCATCTATAAGTGGTCCACTTTTTATTTAAATTTTTTTTGCCAGGGATGTGCTATTATTTTTGTTCTGCAATAAAACTCCTAATTATACCCCTGGACAACCCTCTGAGTTTATCCCTATCCCTTCATTTTACCTGTTTTATGCTTTGCTTTGGATTAATGTCCCAATTTATAACCTACCTACCTACCTTCCGACCGACCGATCCCTACCCTACCCTACCTATATATATTTCTAATTAAATCTAGCACTAGTGATAGACACATTGTGGCAATAATAATAATTTTCTTGATGCAAAAAAGAGTCCAACAGATTTTGCTTTCACAAGTGGAGCAGTACGCCTATCGCCATTGTTTTCTGCTTGATTTATGCATAAAAATAGCTTTATTATAATTCATGCAGGGAGTTTTGCGGTTTTTTGGGCCCTTGGGTTGGGAAGTTCCACCGGGAGGGAAAAACCGGGAAAAGGGGGAAAGGTTTAGGGGGTTAAAGGGAGACAATGATAAAACTTCTTCAGTCTGCTTCATCACCTGCAGAGAGAACAGCACAACCAACGGATAGAGTGTCAAAGATACAATAAAGTATGATAACGATAAATGATAACAGTTTTTACTGCCATTAATTGCTTCACTATGCCCATTGTTTAATAATAAATGTCAAAGTGTATGTATCACATTTAAAGTAAGATTTGATTAATAAGGTCCAATAACATAATGATTCTTTTATTTCATTATTTTTATTTCTTTTTACTCAAGTCTTTATCGAATGTTTTTAAATAATAAAACTCACACAGACATAAGTGTCATAAACTCAAATGTAACCTGAGGGTGCAATATTTGTTGTTGAATGTGTTAAAAACTTTTAAACTTTAACAGAATGAGTGTCTTTGTTAGTTTGAAAACATGAAAAGTGACACTTGGCATTTATGTCAAGTGTCATAAATGGCTTAACATTTATGACGCAGCTCTCCCTAGCAGCTCTCTGGGTGGGGTTTGCTGACAAAGCACGTAGACTCCGGTTTCACACATTAAAATAGACTCAGTCTGCATTTCTAAAACCATATTCACTAAAAGGGCCGTGCATTAAGGCAGAGGAAAAACAAACAGAAGAATTAGCATGCAGGAAAGGATCAGTGTGTGGCTCGCCTGCTTTTGTCAGGAGCGAGGAGTGGGGGAGCGGCGTTTCAACGGGATGTCTGTTACAAGTGGGTAATTTGATAAGTGACATAACTTAACCAAACATATTTAATGAAGTCATTTCAGAGTTGTAGTGTTTGCTTTTATAAATTCAAACATCAAGTAGAGGTTTAAAAAGAAAGTATACGTCAGAGTCCAGAAGTTTTCTTTGTGTTCTCGCTATCTCTGCTGTGGAGCTGCTTTAAAAAAAAAAAATAAAGGCTGTAACTGGTGGAGACACTCCAGTTTGCCCATCCAGAGCAATACTGATAAACATCCCGCCCTTCATGTTCGTTGCAGTTTATTTGTTAAGTTTTATAAACAAAACCAATTCAATTTATGACATGTTGAAACTGTCCCAGGAATGTGGTTTAATGTTTTGATAAATGGGTGGCCACCTCATCACAGTAGTTAGGAGAAAACAGGCAATGTGTGTGTGTGTGGGGGTGTGTGTGTGTGTGTGTACTTGTTTTTCTGACGGTGTGAGGACTTCAAATTTATTTTATTTTTTTTTCACAGTTATGTCATGGGGACTGTTCTTATGCGGACCAAAATCCTGGTCCCCATATGGTAAAGTTCTGTTCTTTGACTTTGGATAAGGGTTATGGTTAGGTATATGTTGGTAATGGTTAAGGGTAAGAGTAAGAGTCTGGGTATGGCCATATGAAATGAATATAAGTCAATAAAAAGGCCCTTATAGGACATGGAAACACGTGTGTGTGTGTGTGTGTGTGTGTGTGTGTGAGTGTGTGTGTGTGTATGGCAAGTACCCAAAACTTTTTCAAGTAAGAAGAGCACTACTTTGACATTTTTTTTAACTAAAGTCAAAGTAAAAATGCTACAATATCTACTTATTACTGTATTTTTATCTAATTTCCA